GTGCCTGGAACCGACAGGGGCCCTGTAGATGTGATTCCCCTCACCCGCTTTAAGACTCAGGGTACCCCGAGGGCCTAAGAAACTGAGTCCAGAGAAACTAAGAAAAGCCCTGTTCTTAGACCCCTGGACGTCACCTGCATCTCCTGCTCTTGCCTGTGATCTCAAGCAAGAGACTGCATCTCTCTGAGCCCGTTTCCTCCTCAGAAAAATGGGGATCATGCCCCCCAAGAAATGATGACGTGACCAGCTGAGCAAGCGGCAGCTGCCACCGTGATTCTCCCTGCTCGTCTTATCCTCATTTCTATTCAGAGAACATGCCATGTCCCGCTGCTCCTGGCACACAGGACATGATCAGTAGATGCAAAAATAACTTTTAAGTAGAAACCCAGTCAACAAGGGTGGTGGGTGGCCCTTGTCTCCCTTCCTGGGACAAAGGGACCTGAGACTCCCTGCAAGGGTCTGTAGCAGCGGAGCCAACCCAGGCGGCCGACTTCACTCTGCACTGGGTACATTCATGGATGTGGCCTCCCGAGCCCCAGAGCCCCATAGGACCTGTGGCTGGGGCTGGGCTGGGAGGGGGTGACCCTGCAGAGCCTGCCACCTGGGTCCCAGGCCAGCAGCTGCCTCACTCATTCCCGTCTCTGAGCCCGAGAAGAAGCCCTGGGAAGGTCGAGCTGCTCTGTGTCCGGGGCAGCGGGCAGTGGGCGGCTCTGATCCCATTGCTTATTGTGTGGCTTTGGCCAAGTCATTTTCCCTTTCGGAGCCTCGGCATTGTCCTCTGTAAAGCAGGGGTGACGGCTGCTCTGGGAACATGCCTCAGCCCGAAGTCCAAATGAATGACTATGGAGAGGGAAGGGGACGAGAGAGGCAGGTTTCTGTTTACCAAGCCGGGCCTTCCCGCTTGATCTACAGCCACTCTGAGTGGGGAAGGGGGCATGTTGGCTACTGGGCGAATGTCCCTCAGACCAGTGGCCCAGAGAGCTGGACAAGGAGGCTAAAGAACCAGGTTCAAGTTCCAGCCTTGCCCCAGTCCCTTCTCTCAGAAATAAGTTTGCTTCTTCGTGTGCACACAGTACACACTGACACCCCCAGCCCTATTTTATATTTTATTTTGAAACAGGATCTCACTGAGTTGCTTAGAGCCTCATTCTTGCTGAGGCTGGCTTTGAACCTGCGATCCTCCTGTCTCGGCTTCCGAAGCTGCTAGGATTACAGCGGGGCACCTCCACACCTGCTAGCCCAGGGATCTGCATTTTAGCAAGCCCTGCATGTGATCTAGTGCATGTCAAAGCTCCAGAAGCACCGTTCTACAATAAACCTACAAAGTCACGAAAATTATTGCCATTTTAGGAATAGGGTGAATGAAACACAAGGAAGGCAACTGGTCCTGGGTCACAAGCCTGTAGGTGGGGTACCAGACAACAAATCCAAGCAGTTTGGCTCTCTCATGGAAATCACCAACCAGTTGGCATCAGACCTATATTAGGACCAGAGAATTTTGGCGATTCACGAATAACTCCACGTTGAGCGCCCTCTAGCGCCAGGCACTGTCCGAGGCATGGGGTCTGGGAGGACCATAACCAGAATACAACCCATGGCGGGAGGAGACAGAACACGTGGCCCCTTTAAAAGGCGGGGCCTGACGGGCGGAACGGCGGGTCCACTCTGCGAAGTGCACCCGGAAGGCCGCGAACGCTACACCCGGAAGTCTTTTAGGCGATATAGGAAGCTGTGCTGGTGGGAACCTCAGCATTATGGGTCGCAACAAGAAAAAGAAGCAGCGAGATGGCGACGACCGGCGTCCCCGGCTCGTTCTCAGCTTCGATGAAGAGAAGCGGCGGTGAGTGGCAGGGCGGGAGAGCGTCCCCCTCGGGCTACCCGGCGAGGCCTAGGTCAGGTCCGGGTCGCTCCCGCCCGCGTGGAGAGCTCTTCCGGCCCCGCCCCGGGGCGTGGCCAGACTGTCCTTCGGGCTCGGCCAGCTCCGCCCGTTGGGGTGGCCAGTCTCCCGCTGCTCGCCTAGAGCCGCAGCTCGGACCTCGGTAGTCCAGCTGGCTCCATCGACCCTGATCGCTGATGAGCCGATGAAACGAGAGTGGCTTGTCTGCTTTCATTCCCTCCCCAGACGCCTGTTGAGCTCCTGCAGTGCCCCAGGCCCAGCGCCCCGCTAGACAGATGGCACAGGGTGGCGACCCCGCGAAAAACCCAGTGCTGGGCGTCAGAACCAAACGGTTCTGACCTAAAGAGCAGCCGGCACTAGGAGACGTAAAAGGGCAAGGGTAGGGAGCGAAATGCCTGGGTCTCACCCGGAAACTCCGAGGGTAAATCAGCAGGTCCTAGGGTGGGGCCAGGGGCCCGGGGAAGTGGGTGTTGGTTCAGTGGAGAACTTCTGCAGATCTGGTGTTCCTGAAAGCCCTGCCGGAAGTGGCTCAATTCCCTGAGCGGTGATATTTGCCAGTGTAAAAGGGGCCTCAGCCAGATCTGTGTGTCCACTATCCCAGCCCTTGTTTGAAGCTGAGCGTTCTGGAGAGTGTAGAGTGGAAAGAGGCAACATATCTCATATTTTGCTAAACTTAGACCGTCCAGCTCCGTGTGATGGCGCACACCTTTAACCCTATGGCTTGGGAGACTGAGGCCAGCCTCAGCAACCTGGTGAGGCCCTGTCTCAAAATAAAAAATAAAAAGTGCTGGGGATGAGGCTTAGTAGTAGAGCACTTCGGGTTCAATCCCTGCTACAAAAACAACAAACAAAAAAAAGAAAAACAGCTTACACAATCAGATGTTCCATAATGATGATTTGGTAGTGATGGCCCACGTAATGATGGTGTACCATGCCACCTCCATGTGTAGTAGACTATACTATTTAAGTTGGTGTAAATATACTTTGTGATATGTAAACAACAACACAATTACCTAGCAACTCATTTCTCAGACTGTGTTCTTATCATTAAATGGTGCATGACTGTACTCTGTGTGACCTGGGGCAAGTAACCTAGACTGTGTGCCTCCATGTCCCTGTCTGTTAATGGGGCTTGATCCCTACAGGTGAGGTGAGAGGAGGGTGGGTGAGGTGAGAGGAGGGTGGGTGGGTAGAGCCCTGCACACATGGTGCAGCACTGGCTGTGCTCTCTTCCTAAGCCAGTTCTTTCCTTATCTCCTCCAAACTCTCCTGCCTCTGGCCTGCTTCCTTCCTGTAGGGAGTACCTAACCGGCTTCCACAAGCGGAAAGTGGAGCGGAAGAAGGCAGCCATCGAGGAGATTAAGCAGCGGCTGAAGGAGGAGCAGAAGAAGCTCCGGGAGGAGGTGAAGGAAGGTGGATGGAGGGGGACTTACAGCCCCAGATGGCCCTGATAGAGATGGCCACAGGGAAGGTGGAGGGGTGTGGGGCAGGACAGGACTGAGAAGCCCTTTATACAGGGAGAGACTCTGGCCTGGGACTGGGGAAGGTGGAGGATGGAGTCTCCTCCTGACCTTGAACTATCAGCCGTGGTCCACATGTCCTGAGGTCAGCAGTGCCCCTGCTGAGACTGAAGGAGAGGCCATACTCACTGTGCCCTTCCCATGTGCCCTTAGCGCCACCAAGAATACTTGAAGATGCTGGCAGAGAGAGAGGAGGCGCTGGGTGAGTCCTCCTTGGCCTGACCTGGAGAACATCCAGGGAGGCTGGGCTTCTGGTGTTGGGGGGAGAAGGTGAGAACTGCACAGGTGACCTCCTTAGCTTCAGGGGTCTTGGTGATGACCTGGGCACCAGGGGTGGGCCTCACATATCTCTAAGCACAGTGGATCAGAGACCAGGAGGAGATCCAAACCTCATGGTAAACTGGGCCTGAGCAGAATCCAGTTTCCAAGGACTGGAGGAACTAGTTGTAGGGAGGGGCGGTGGCAGCTCTGGTATCACAGAGTTTGTGAATGGGGTCTGGCCTAGAGCAAGGAGGGAAGAGCGGGTAATTGTAACATCTGTCTGCAGGCCAGGCTCTGGGCCAGGGTGGAAGGGCCCCTGCAGTCCAGGCTTGGGAGGGAGGCTGAGGCCTGGTCTGTGGCTGCCCTGCAGAGGAGGCAGATGAGCTAGACCAGCTGGTGACGGCAAAGACAGAGTCTGTGCAGTATGACCACCCCAACCACACAGTCACCGTGACCACCATCAGCGACCTGGACCTCTCTGGAGCCCGACTGCTTGGACTACCCCTGCCTGAGGTGGGTCCTGCCCTGGGGCATGCTCGTCACGGGGTTGCCGGATACTGCCCATGTCACAGGTATCACAGTGCAAGGAGCTCTTGCAGTCTGGACCCTTTAGTCCCTGGCTGCACCACTGGGCAGTAAAGGAGCTGCAAGTTTCTTTCTTTCTTTTTTTTTTTTTGGTACCGGGGATTGAACCCAGGGGTGTTTATTTATTTATTTTTGTGGTGCTGGGGATTGAATTCAGGGCCTTGTGCATGCGAGGCAAGCACTCGACCAACTGAGCTATATCCCCCGCCCCCCAGGGGTGCTTTTTATATTTTTATTTAGAGACAGGGTCTTGCTGAGTTGTTTAGGGATTCATAAGTTGTTGAGGCTGGCTTTGAACTTTTGATCCTCCTGCCTCAGCCCCCAAGCCACTGGGATTAGAGGTGTGGGCCACCGCAGCCGGCTTGGGCAATTTTCTTTGACTTGCCTTCTTCCCTGTCTTCATCCATAAACTGGAAGCTGCTCATGGTAGCATTTGCCGTGTGGCATTGCTCTGAAGATAAAAGTGGTGACTCCAGCTAGGTGTGGTGTGGCACTCACCTGTAATCCCAGCAGCTCTGGGGGCTGAGGCAGGAGATCTATCAGTTTGAGGACAGCCTCAGCCACTTAGACCCTGTTTTAAAAAATGAAAAGGGGAGAGTGGGGTTGTAGCTCAGCAGTAGAGCCCTGGCCTAGCACTTGCGAGGCACTGGTTCGATCGTCAGCATCATATATAAATAAATAAATAAAATAAAGGTATTGTGTCCAACTACAAATATAAATAAATAAATAAATAAATA